TTTGTTTTTATGGTTCTACATTGAAGTAGTTCATATTGTGTATCCATTTTAAGGCTGCCTATTTTTTTTATTCATTTTCTATTTGAATGGTACAAAGTAAAAAGTCTAAAATATATTTAATTGATCAAAATAATTAAAAAAAATATAATTTTTTCGGTCCAATCGGTCCGGACCGGTTCGGTCCTAAATATTTCGGTCCGGTCCGGTCCAAACCCGAATGGATTTAGGTCCGGTCTTCGGTCCTAGAATTAACTCATTTCGGTCTTCGGTCCGGTCCGGGTCGGTCCGGTTCGGTCCGGTCTTGGACTGATGAACAGCCCTACCGGTCATTAGGCTGCTCCTCCAATCCGTGATTCATATCTTTGTGCAGTCAAAGATAACAAAAAAGAGAACAATGACTATACACTCAGCTAAAAGCTGGATATATCTAACACTCAAATTAATTTACAGAAGAATACTACAAGCATACATGATCACACAACGTCATACAAGTAGTTAACAATCATTATGCAACATCATTTGTAAATAGGAAGCTAATCCTACCATCAGTATTTATCAATAACTTTAACCTATATATGATGACTAAGGCTGAATCAACTATTAGAGTCATGACACTCGTACAATCGTACAAGGTAGCTGAGATCAAGCTCAAATCTAAAGGAGGTATCCAAAGGATGAGTTGAATCCCCTACTAAGACGGATATCAAGGTAGGTTGTGGACTCTTGCACCTATGTTTTAAACCCTAGGCAATTGAGTATACCACTCATACCCACATGGCCCGAATTCTAATAATCGGACTTACTTGGTGCATTGTGACGGTCCAACTGATAGCGAAGTACTGTCAGTAATCAGCTACCGCGACCAAACATTGTATGCATGGTGGAAGGTTTCAGCCTATGGTGGTACCTACCGCTATCGTCAGACAGTAGCGACTCCAGAGCATTTTAAAATAGATCAACATCATAGTCCTAACCATGCTCCCACACCAATTTAATAATATATAACCTAAAAATCCATTCAAAAATTTCATAGCAAATTCATATCACATAATTAGTCATAAAACGAATATGAATGTAGAATTTCTATGTAAACTAATCTTAATGCTAGATTTATGAAACCATGACTCACCTCATAAGAATAACGAATAAAAATCTACAAACGAGGTGGTGATCAAGGTGAACTCTACCAAAGAGCTCGGGTCCGCATATCTGCTGATTGCCGCTGCTACCTTCTCTCCTCTCGCCGGTCTCTGTCGCACAACCAAGGAAGAAGAAGCAAATGAGATGATGGTCGATAGAAGTCAGTGTTCGTGTATTATATGTATACATATAGTATAGGTTTAGTTTAATTTCACCTTAATTGGGATTGGTTCAAGTCCATATTACCTCGTCTGTTCCCCATAACTTTAATTCCGTAACTCAGATTCAGGATCCATTTGCGTGCGTTGCATTCGGTTGAACAAACTTTATAAAATGGGATTACTTATTTGATTAAAAACCTAAATTATGATTTTTCCCTTACTCAGGCCCATTTTGCAATTAATTAAATATGTAAATCAATCAATAATAATAAGCTGTTAATCAGGGCGTTACATTTCTAATTCCCTTAAAAGTATTTCGTTCTCAAAATTACCCGTGTCACTGTTGGGGAATAGATGAGAATACTGGACTCTCATGGACACTCCAATCTCTCAGGTTGCTTCCTCAACAACACGGAATCTGTCAATCAGATGCAACATGTAAACGCTCTCGGATTACCTTAATCTTTTCCTCGGTCTCGCGAACGACCTTCATACCCTCCAACCTCGATTTGCTTAGTTTAGTCTAGCACAATGGAGTCTTGCACCTCTTCCATATAAAGCCTCGTATGGTGCCATTTGAATACTCACCCGATAACTATGTGAAAATTTGATATTTCCTCAACCGTTGGTCGTCCCACGCCACCGGCTACCACTACCATCGTCAACCACCTCCGTTGTCAGTGATCTCTGTCAATCTCTAATTAAAATATAATTTTAAATATCTCTAAATAGCTTCATTTCAAATTTCGAAACTCATATCATTTTCTCAGATTTCTAAATACATATCACATGTTTAAAAAACACCAAACATGCCCATAAGTTTGGATCTATGCAATTGGCCGATTTTAAACAAGTCGGATTAGGGCCCGTTCAAATTTTAAAGAATTCGTTCTAACATGTCCCAAGGAGTTCATGCCCACTCTAGGTAGGTATGGCGAGAAGGCAGGGAGTACTTAATTTCAATTTCAAAGCCTTTGAGGCCATTCGAACAAACCTCAACGACGAGGGCAGCATTCACCCCCGCCGATCCTCGACCTGCACACCCCGCCGATCCTCGACCAAAACACCCCGCCCTCCATCTCCGGCGGTGGCGCCAACGACCTCCTCCGCAAGGCCAACTCCAGGAGTCCTACGGTGTTCTTCTGAAACCCTCTTAAGGAGCAGATCGTCGTGATGTTGATCGGCGGCGTTTGGTCCGATTAGGGAAGAAATACTGCAATCCTGGTTTCCGGATTTGTCTGTTTGGAACAAGAATTAAAATCCTTTAAAAAGATTTAACAACCCTAGACATTAGTTGCAATAAAACACCAAAAGCATCCTTCCGATAGTCCATTTAAAGTTTAGCCTCAAAATCTTAACTGTAGTCCGGTGCTGAATCTGATGTCTGTGGACTTGAGTATCGAGCTTTTTAATAGGTAAAGATATTCTTGTTTTTCAAGTATAATAAAATTTGTTAATTCTAGTAAAGAGCTCCTCATCAACAAAAGAGTGTTGGCAAGTAACATTCAACTACTTCTATTTAGACACTGAATTTTGTAGTTTTCAGCTTCTGATTTATATTTGACTCTCCTGTTTAATTATATTTATTTATAGGTTGGTGAGACTCGCAGCCAGAGCCTTCTATGATGACATTACAACTAAAGGCGATAATCAGCCAAAGTCAGGTAGAAGCGACAATCGGGGAATTGCTGTTGTGATTCTAGATGCCCTCACAAGGTTCTGAATTTACAGTGCTTACAGTTTTGTGTAATATTACTTTGTGCATTATGCATTTGTGGACGTAGTCATGTTTTCTAGTTATGTTTGTGGTTTATGTAAAAGGAAAAACCATAAGAGTTATAGGGCATCTACAAGCTTAATTTTGTAGATTTTATGTTGTTATATTCCAAAGTAGCACCATATATGTCATGCAAACCAGAAATACTCTGTTCATATTATGATGTTTCAACTAGTTATGTTTTTAAGGAAGGAAAAATACAAGAGATACATGGCATCTACAAGCTTAATTTTGTAGCATAATGGGGCATTAATTTTATATTGTTATAGCATAACAAGACATTACTACAACAACAACGTTTGTCAGTGTATTCTCACAAGTGGGCTATGGGGAGATAGGATGTACAGAGATCTCACCTCTACTCGTAAAGGGTGTAGAGGTTGTTTGTGAAAGACCCTCTCCTAAAAAAGGAATAAAACCGAAGTGAGTTAGAAAAAGACTAACTATAAATATGCACCACATAAAAGGGCACATCTACGCAAGCCTTAAAACTACCAAACATGCATAAAAACTGAAAAAAGGGATGGAAGGTCTATGCCCAACCTCACAAACTAGAGAGGCTAAGTCTAAACAATCTGTACTACCCTTCTATTATAATCCTCCACCTCCAAAGCTTCCTATCTAAGGTCATGTCCTTTTTCAGCTTGAGTTTAGTCATGTAATGGGACATTACTAGTTTCAAAATTGCGCCATATTTGTCATGCAAATAGAAAATAGTCAAAATACATATTATGATGTCACACACACTTCTTAGACCTTACTTTTGTGGGATCTTACTAGGCTGTTATTGTATCCAATTAAAGAAACAATTTTTATGGACTTTAGGATAGGAAAATTATGTACGCATCAATCAAGTTTCTTTTATACCAATACCACTATATGTTTTTAGATTTGTATATTTGATACAATTTTTAGGCGGCAATGGGTGAGGGAAGAAGACTTGGCGAAGGACTTGAAGTTGCATACAAAGCAACTTCGAAGGACACTACGTTTTTTTGAAGAAGAAAAACTGATCACGAGGGATCATAGGAAAGAGGTTGGTTTTCCTGCTGTATCATGATGGTTGGCAATACTGTTTTACCTTTCTGCCATGGCTATTTTTACTGGTGCATATAAATGAGACCTATTTTCCTCCGACTTGTTTAAACTTGCCTGTTGTTGTGCTGGACAACATTTATTACTATTTGGTCTGTGTTCTACTCTAGTGCAGAGTACAACTATAAACATGAGTCTTAAATACAACAACCCAGTATAATCCCAACTTCGTTGCGGCCTGGAGGGTCAAGATGTACACAGCCTTACCCTTGTGAAATACAGAGATTGTTTTCATTAGACATTTGATGCATTGCTTCATTTACTACTCAAAACTTCATTGAAAGTAAGAAACGATGGAAGTTTTATGTAGCATTTTGATCTTGTTCATTATTTATCAAAACGTAAAACATTGTCATTTACGATGATTTTAGCTCCATTGGCAATGGACACAAAAACATGAGTCTTAAATATGTTTCCTTAATGGAAAGAGAAGAATTTACTAGTGATGAACCTAAGAAATAATCTGTAAAAAGCAGAAGCTTTGGTGTAATTCATTTGTCAAGTGAGTTGTTCCTAACTTTTTGAACATAAGAAATACATATTTGTACCTTTTTCTTGAGCATGCATATGTTGCTCTCTTCTCTTGATTCGTGAGCTTAAATTTCTTCTTGATGAATGCACAAAAGAAGCACAAACTAATAAACGATATCTATTGTTTTACTTTTTTTGGGCCTTTCCTTTCAAAGGCTTGGCATTGTTTTGGCCTCTCAGAGGTGGGGCGGTGCTTAAAAAATTGCATCTTGTTGTGAAGTAATTAAGAACTACATACTTGTATAATTTATATCTGTAGTATAAGAATGCGTGCATCTGAAAAATTAATGGGCTTCTGTTACTATTTGATGCGCTATGAAGTTCATTCAGGCTGCTACTTACTTTTTTTTAGGACAGAGTTATGGGCTTCCAAATTTCCCATAGTGCCTATATGTGAATTTTATCCAAAGGGAACATAAGTGGATTAATTGGCATATGCCTATGCGTATTGAAAACTAAAGATTTAATATAGTAAAGCACAAGCTTCGTTTATGTATATATTTGTTTATTTATTGTGGTACTTTACAGTCAGCAAAAGGTGCTAAAGTATATAATGCTGCCGTTGCTGCTGCCGTTGATGTTCAGCATAATGGTAAAGAAGATGAAAAAGTCAAGATGCACACACATTCTTATTGCTGTCTAGACTATGCACAGGTTCCTACTATTTATTCTGTACTGAGTTAATTTTGTTCATTCAATATTAAATCAAATTTCAACAATGTGTTCACCAAAATATTATTATGCTGTGGCAAGATATATGGTTTATAAGCCCCTCAAAATTGCATAGTTTGAAGTTATTGACTGCGGCCCTTGTGCATTATGCCTATGAAGGTCGTGTACATATTCTTCAAACTTGCATGCTGCAGGAGGGATATTCTTTCATTTTGCCTTCAATCTATTTAAATTCCATTTTGCATGTCCTGAATTCTGTATGTGCTGCTGTTAAATAAATCGGGCATTAGTCATGATTAAATGGAAATGGCAAAATGCACTCCTCGCAGATATATGATGTTGTGAGATACAGATTACACCGCATGAAGAAAAAGCTTAGAGATGAGCTTGATTGCAAGAATACAGTTCAGGAGTATATATGTCCGAACTGTGGGAAAAGGTTTCCCATCACATTGCAATGCAATCTATTTTAAATCCTCGTGTTTATTGAAAGGTTAAATTTGTTTATCCATTGTATCCAGATATACTGCTTTGGATGCTATACGGTTGATTTCTCCAAATGATGATTATTTTCACTGTGAAAGTTGTAATGGGGAGTTGGTAGCAGAGAGTGACAAGTTTGCATCTCAAGGGATGACAGATGGAGATGATAATGCAAGGAGACGTCATCGTGAACAATTAGAAAGCAAGCTTCGCAGAATGGAGGTTGTTTCTATTGCTACAGCTAGTGCCTATACTTGAGCTAGTTTGGGGGGGGGGGGTTCGTTCATATATTATTTTATAGGAAGACTAAGGAATTCAATTTATGCAAGACAAAATGTAATGAAACCTGGTGAGCTTTTATGTGGGCCATGCTATGCAAATTTATAGATGTCAATAAGGGTCGCCCTAGTTAACGAAAGGGCTAGAGCTAAAAAAACAAGTGTCGTGAGGAGCTACATTCCTAAAAGATCTAAGCATAGACTTAGTCCTAAACGGTCAACACGAGCTTATAACATTTAACTTTTCTCTTTGGGTGTGGGTGTGTGTCTACTACACACACACACACATAGAGTATGAGAATATCCAATACTTGTGTATTCTTCTATTGAGAAAGAATTTCTGTGAGTGCAGGAACAACTAAAACCACTGATGGAGCTACTTGGTAATCTAAAAGAGTTGCCTGTTCCGGAACTTGGAAGTCTTCAAGCTTGGGAAGCCCATGCAAGTGCTGTGGCTCGTGGGGTGAATGGTGATTTTAATGACAATGATCCCTTGAAATTGTCACATGGTGGAACACCTATGCCTTTTGTTGGACAGACAAAGGTTTCCTTGCGATACCTTCTCTTTACCTCTTACACTGTTTGCTTCAAGGATTTTGGAAGGAAAAGAAAAGAAAATGATTTTCTCTCATTTTCCTCACCAAAATGGGAGGAATTTGGTTTTCCCTCCTTAGTACATTTGTCTTCTCATTTTCTTTTCCTTCCATTTTTCCTCTCCAACCAAACATGAAAAACTGTTTTCCACTTCATTTTCTTTTCCCATTCAAATTCCTTGAACCAAACATAGTGTTAGTCTCTTACACATGGAAGTTCACAATGATGGATCTTGTTCCATATTCACAATGAGATATTTTGGTGCATGCGTTGTGTTCTGTTTGGTTCAACTGTAGCTTTCGAAAACATTTTTTTTACCTGGATGGATAAATAGCACTGGCATTCAAATGTTGCATTTCCTAGCATTATGATAAATTAGTTACCAGCAACAGGGTTGATGCATTCACTTTCTTCCCCTTTGAGCTAAAAATCGCTTGAAAAAAATTGCATGATAAGTGTTTCTCTGTTGGAGTGCTTTCATTTCCTCATGTTTTCGTGGCTTATGGTATATTATCTGATTTTGAATTTCTAAGTTTTGATTGCTTATTGACAGGTTGATGTTTCTTTCTCTGGTCTTGAAGAAAAAGATGTTAAATCTGAGGGCTCATCTTCACCAAAGAAAAAGTTGCCTCCATGGATGATAAGGCAAGGAATGAACCTCACAAGGGAGCAGCGTGGAGAGACTGTCAAGCAAGAAGAAAAGATGGATGGTACTTCAGGGGCCCAAGAATTCTGCGATGACAAGAAATCCGAGGCTGGTAAAGTTGATGTGAAGAATATTCAGGTTATTGCAAGCTTGCTAAATGTCCCTGCAACTGTTTTCATAAAATCCCTTTTTTTTTGAAGTTGTTTGGTAAGGGTAACTTCTGGCTAAAATGAATAAAATGGTTTGATGGGTTGAATTTGGTTAAACTGTATCATCCAAAATATAATATAAAATAAATTAGTGAAAATACGAGTATCCTTTCATTTTAAATGTTTTGAAAAAAAAAGCATTTTCATTTTCATTATCAGCTAATTCAGCCAGAAACTAAACTTAAATTTGTGTTTCATAGAAAGTATAGGTTTACATACATGGTTTGGATACGTCAGGCTTGTATCTGTAGAGCCTACTCGAGAAGAGTACTATTGTCTTTGACTGTGATAGGAACTCAGATTGATTTGATTGGAGTTGGTTGAATTCACTGTGAACTACTCGTAATACAACAAAATAGATAAAATATCCAATAAATCTAAAATTAACTACTTAAGCTATCTAATAGAATAATAGTCCTTGGGTAGTTGGGTATAACAATCTCCTTGGATCATGGGCCAGGCACAATTCACGTGGGCTGGGCTGGGCACAATACATAGCCCGATAAAGCTGATTAGTAACAAATTAAGGTTATCAAACGGGCACTTCATTTATGTGTGCAGAAGAAGCCTGGCCTTCATAATGATGTGTTATACTTGACCACTTTTACAGGATGAATACATTAAGGCATATTATGCTGCTGTACTTCAGCGACAGCAGGAGCAAGTAGCAGCAGCGCAGAAACTAAAAGAGGAGCAGAATGCGTATGATGCACCCAGTACATCAACTGAGCGCCAAGTTGGAATGAAATCCAAACGTGAGGACGATGAAGGAGAAGATGGTTTTGATTGGGAGGAAGGAATCCCTGCAGGTAAATTTTTCAAGCGTTTTGTGCAATTATTTCGCTATTCATTTTAATCTCCAACCGTGTCGAGAGAAGTTGATGTATAGGACCAACTTGCAAATCACATAACAAGGAACAACACAATTGACACATAAAATTAGCCCCTCTACTTTGACCTTCAACTGAGTAATTTTGTTCACACGCTTCTTCTTCTTCTTCTTCCCCAAAGTGGAAGACGTCTCATCATCCCTGTCATATTTAGTTGAGTGTTCTAACCAAGTTGCGTGTTAAATTTAGTTAAAATAACAAACAAGTTCAGAATGATTTTCAATAGTTTTACCTTTGTGATTCGTGAAAGAAGGCTATTTTATGACACGGATGGAGTATATATACTTAATTTTGGTTATTGGTTTTGGGATAAAGGGTTGACTGCATTTATTTATGCATAAGTGTACTATCAATGTATGCATTAGATATTTTTTAATGAGTTGTGCTTTCATCATCCTAAGGTCTACATGTCAAATGTGGACCGTCTCACACTTTTCATGGGCAGGCATGGAGATCTTTTTTTTTTTTCCAAAGAACCCAATTCATCCATGATATTTACTCCCTCCGTCCCAAAAAGATTTACACGTTTCAAAAAAATTGCGTCCCACAATCCCTTACCCATTTCTATTAAAAAACCACTTTTATCTCTTACTTTTTCAAACCCTACCTATCACATCATACCTTTCTCCTAATAATCTACACATCACATCATACTTTTACCCATCACATCAAGGGTATTTTTGGAAAGTCAACACAAAATTATCACTTTCTTAATTTCAACTTTAGTCAAAATGGGTAACACTTTATGGGACGGAGGGAGTATATAATAAGGCCCATAAAATGAGTGTAGACCTTATGACCACTGAAGAATTTGTCTTTTTTAATATATGGTCTTGTAATGCTCGTATTATACCCCAGCCGCAGGCAGTGCATCCGGGAGCTTCAAGGTGGACCTAAACGTCGAAGCAGAGGCTATAGAAGATGAGGAGAATGACGGCCTTGACTGGGAAGAAGGTTAATTGGCAAAGTAGCAACATTTAGCTCAACATTTTTTTCATGTTCGGATATCGGTTATTGGGGTTTTCCTTGGCTGTTGTGGCTTTTAACATTTTAAAGTTTGACAAGGGTGGAGATTCGGATATTCGGGCTCTGTTTGATTCAATTTGGAATTTTGGAAAATTGGTTTGGTCAAAATGTGACATCTTTGCCATATATTGTTGTATACCATCCTAGTATGTTACATTGAGCTTCCCATATTGAATTCCTAGGGTAGTCCTTCCACTTGATCAAAAGAGGAGGCTTAAATACCTTCAATTACGTAGCCTATAGAAATGAGTTAAGTTTTTTTTTAAAATCCAAATGGATCGTAGTTTTTTTTCCTCAGAGAAGATTTTCCACCTAAAAAAGTGTCAATTTTTTTGTACATTATTCTCTCTTATATTTGGAGTCTGTCGTGTTTCAATTTTTCTTTTTCACATTTATGTGTAAGACATTATTATTTGGACAAAGAGGTCAATGGTGCCCACTTAAAAGTATTTAAAATATATGGAATTAGCATAAATCATTATTTATTGCATTGTCGCACGGATCAATGGTATCCAATATTCCAATATCATGAGTACTCCATGAGATAATAGTGTACAAAATTAGTTTTCTTTATATTGATATTTTTATCTCTGTAATCACACGTCGTCAACGTACAATATTACAATAATAATAATAATGTGAGAGTATTCATACTGTACATAGAAGGGAAAAAAGAGAAACATAGAACTAGCACTTGGAAAAGGAAAATGTAGGAAAGAAAAGAGAAACTATCATCTAAAAGTGTTTACCATGTACCTTTGGTACACATGAATCTTCTCATCTAACTTTTTAAAATTCTTTACTCCGTAATAAATTAAAGGAATTATCATATTATTATCAAGTCAATTCTATGTGTATGTTAAGTATACATAAGAATTTACCTACAATCTATTGAGAACTTCTATCATTAACTTAAACTCTGCAAGGATCTTTTCACATAAGTTTATATTTTTTTTAAAAAAAAAATTAAAAATGCTTAACTTTTTTGAAGGCTTTTTTGGCTTATATGAAGGCAAAAAAAATGCTTAAGTTAATACTAGTAAACAAATGCTTATTTGGCTTATATGAAGGCCACTATAAACCTCAAGTCCAAAGAAGATTTTGCCCAATCTATTATTGGATTTATGGCTTGTGAGTCTCATTATTAGTATAAATTTAATTGATTAATTATTGACTTGACCAAATTTGGTAGAATATCAGATAATGCAAAATTTAGTATTAAAACAAAATATCCCGAGCAACAAAATATTTAGTTCAATTGCAATAGGAGTATTCTTTAAACTTTTGGTAACTATTTAAAATTGTGGATTTGAAATTGTTGTCAAAGTTAGTATGTCATTTAATTTTGAGTAATAAACTAAAAAAAAACAAAACCGCCAAATCCACTTCCCCTGCCCTTGTAATGCATCAATAACTATAAATAACATGGTTACAAACAACAATGGCGGATTAGAGCCAAGATGATCTTCCGAACCCCGTACCTAGCAACCGAAAGCGGCATGAATAACTACATCGTTAGCGGCACGACTTGTGTGATCGGCCGCACCACCACCGCCATCAACACTCGCAACGGCGTGGCATTCAAAACCACCACGGGTTGTGCCATCAGCACCATTCGTGGTGGAGAAGAGCTCATGGCGAGAACTGGTCGCGCCATCACCTCGGCCACCCACCACGTCATCAACAGGGCCAGTGGGTGGTCGAAACGGCGGGTTGTCGACGCGTGGCAACGCACATCAAAGAAAGTTATCAGGTAGAGTAGTACTTCGTCTCATATCTTTATTTTTTTTGGTTTTGACTTGACTCGCTGATGAATGTAAGACTAAAAAGGTTAGTTTTTTTTGTCTTTGATTGATGGTGTAATAAGTTGGAGTGCGATGTAAAACAGGTAAGTATTTTAATAAAAAAAGAAGCAGAAAGACATTATAAGGATGATCTTAAATAGAAAGCAAGAAAAATGTTACTCCGTATAAAACAAAGAGAATATTGAACAGTGTGGTTGTATCTACACCATTTTGGCTAAACATACTTCATGTGCGATAAGCAGATAATAAACAATTTTATCTTTGTTCGGATCGTTGTGAAATTAAATTTTATTATGAAATAAATGAATTTAATGAAATTTTAGGACGGATAGAATATTTCTTAGTACTCCCGAATTATCCCAAAAAGATTAAGTTGCCTCCAATAAAAAACAATTCTATCCCAAATAGAAAGAAATTTCAAAATTAAAAAATGGGAAATGTGAACTTTAAAATTAAAATTATAGAATCTAAAAATAAAATATTTAAAATTAATCTTATATTGAAATTTTTAAAATAAAGTTTTGGGTCACTTTAATATGGATTGGTCATCATCAGGAAGAGCAAAAGCTTGCCGAAGCTGCCGGCGATCCCAAAGCCAAAAGACCTATTGGCGACGATCGGAAACAAAGCTAACAATCTCCGGAAGAAAAAGAAGAACAAAGCCGCGGAGGCCGACGAGGCGGCGGCTGATTTCGGCGACGGCGGGCTGTGGCAGCGGGCGATTCTGATGGGCGACAAATGCCAGCCGTTGGATTTCGCCGGCGTCATTTACTACGACAGCAAGGGGCGGCGCGTGTCGGAGCCTCCGTCAAGGTCGCCGCGTCGCTTCCCGGGGAAACTGCACGGTTCTGGCTCATCCGGGGAACTCTAGATTTCGCTCTTTTGGTGTCTGCGCCGCCGCCCGCCGCCGGTCATTTACCGTCATTTATTGTCATTTAATTAAAGAATCTCAAGTATATACGGAGTATACTGTTTTTACAGTATTTTGGACGGAGTATTACTCTGTGTCCAACTATTTTTATTCTTTTTTTTTTTTTCATTTTGGCTGTTCCAAAATGTTTGTAACACAATATTTTTGGTGCATAATTAAATAAAATATTTAAAAGTGCATATGTAAAAAAAATTAAAGCACATATCAAGTTCTTCTCGATTTCTGTCGTATGTTTGTTTTTCGTCCTCTAAAATAATGTTCGTTGCATCCATCATCTCATTCACAATGGGAAAATATTAAATTTACGACCGTTGCCAAAATTTAGTGTTTGCGTAAATTGGGACAGGTATGCCAAGCCAAACACGAGGGAGGGGAGCGGTGTTCCTGATCAAAACCGACCGGAACCTTAGCTCCTTGGTTGGTTCCCGACACCACGCCCATCGATCTTGTACGAAGTACTCCCTCCGTCCCAGAGTATTTGTTCACTTTTATTTTTACACATCATCCAATGCACTTCTTTAATCCATTTTATCTTTTAATTTGTATATTAAAAAATTATAGAAATTATGTATTAATAATCTATATGTTAAGACAAATCAAACAAGATCACACATGACTATATTTAGGCTCACACATTGGAAGAATTTGATGAGTCAAAATGCTTAGATGAACAGTTCCAAAAGTCAAAAGTGGACGAATATAGCGGGACAGAGGTAGTAGTATTTATTGAAATTGAAATAAATGTTATATTCGACAAAAGTTTTAGTGTTTAGCTTTACCATTTTGAAAATATTATTTGATAGTAAACTTTAGGTTTAACATTTTTTTAAATAACTCGTATCGATTTAAAGTGTTAGTCATAAATGTTATTGCAAGAATGAGTTTATCTAAAGTCATATATCACGTTAGTTTTAAAATATAATTTGCCCTCTCTAAACATTGTATTTTAGATAATTATTTTTAACTGAATTTGAAATCTGAGCATCAGTCAATCAAGTTCTTCACCAATAGATTAACTTATTTCTCAATTCAAGATATCTTCATCAAGTTCCAACAGGTAAAATTAGTGTAATTTTTAAAATTTAGTAGGAATCCACATACAATTTTTAGAAAGTTCGAAGGTAAATGACAGAAGATGTAATCACTGGTATAATCTTTAAAATTTAGTGGGAATCCACACAATTTTTAATAAAATTTGAAGGTAAATGAAACAAAATGTTTCTTCTAAATCCTCCCAACTCCTTTCAATTTTTTTCAAAAAATGACTAAAAAAAGTATTTATATATGATGAATATGCAATAATATTATATATCCAAATTTATAACATACCACCTCAAACATGAATAATGATGAATTCTTTTATTTAAAATTAGAAATTTCTTACATATTTCTTTAAATAATCAATTAATTGAGTGACTTTTAAATACTTAAATTATATTCTTCCAAACATTATATTTTGGACTCATTCCATGTTTTTCCAACTTTTTTCAATTTTTTTTAGTTTCTTTACTTCAATTCCTCTCTTCATCTGTGGTCATCGGGTGTATTTTGCATATGAACGATTATCAAAGAAGCAATCTATATCAGAACAAATTAATACATTGGCATTGAAAATTAAAAGCTGACCATATGATAAAACAACTAATCAATTCAGAAAGAAAGAAAAAAAAAACAAAGGCGGGATCCGATCCGGGACGGACTCCGGATTCACGCGCTAGGAGCCGCGTCTTTCGCCTTACCGTGAAGGTACCCTCCCGCGTAGTCCTTGACGTGGTTCGCGGTGTCCACGAGCCGACTCCGGGCGTAGTCGAACCGGTCCGAGCCGGGCGGGTGGAGCCCGCGCAGGTAGCGGTAGAGCCAAGAGGCCATGACGGCGGCGGCGACGCCGAACCCGCACGCCGAGAGAAATCCGGCGACGGCGACGAAGAGGACCGCCCCGACCGGGACCCACACGGGGCTCGAGATTATAATCAGCGGCGCGAAGAAGATCAGCCCGAGGACGGTGGCGGTGAGGGTGAGGCCGGTGAGGAGGAGGAGGATCCCGCCGGACACGAGGAGGGTCAGGATCCCCACGAGCTGCGTCGAGTTCGGCGCGTTTTCTTGAAATCTACGGAGGACGGTGGGGCCGCCGCCGCCGCGGGGCGGCGATCTATGGGATTGTTGCGTTTCGGCCATTTTGTTATTGTTTGGATTTTATTTCATTTATTTATTTTTTTTTGAGATGGAATTAATTAATTAATGGGAATGAGTAGGGGAATGTGTTTATTTCACTATTGTTATGGGAGTAGAAAAGAGTGGGAGGGAGGACACGTGTGGGATGAACGGAGTGCCGCGTAAGCATGCAAGAGTACACGTGGGAGGGAATCGTGAAGGTTGGACTTATTCTTTTTCATTACTGTATTTTTTTTGAAACAGAAAAAAAAGTTAGCGGTGGGAAAGTTTATAAGGTGAGGAAAATTAAGCATTTAATTTTTGGATTATGTCTATAATTTACCCTCTTACAAATTTGTTTTTTTGATTCGAATTCTTTTGAGTAATCAAAAAAATAAAAATCTAAATACACAAATAATTTGTACAGTTTATGTTCAAGTTATTAGTGACTTTAACATTACTCATTGAATTAAAGTTTGTTTCTTAAAAAAACGCTAGAGTGAATTAAGATTAATATTTATCACGATATTTGTGATGAACGAGATTGTGTTAGAGCAAGATTTAAACTACTCATCCATTCTTAAAATGGTCCCTATTTTGATTTTTGGGAGAAATAAAGAATTTATATTTGTAGTTGAATTAACAATTTTTCATTGATGTGATACGTAAAAGCAAGATACAGAGTATAAGATGAGCGAACGTAAAAGTGAAAATTACCTTGCTTTTCCTTCTTTTTTTACCTTTTTATTTTTTAGGAAGGTATTGATATCCGTCCAAATTTCAACCTAAAAGAACTGGGTCTAAATATGTAAAAGAATCCATCCTTTTTTTTATATTTGTGGTGGTATGCTATAAATAAATTTGGATATAAATTGTTATTGTATGTTCATCATATATAAATGTCATTTTTAAACTGTTGTTTGAAGAAGCTTGAATAAGTTGGAAGAAATTAGAAGGAGTTGGAAGAGGCTAGAAGGGATAGAAAAAAATTGAAAGTTAATATTTTGAACCCAAAAGAACAAGACCTTACTAGACTTTGAAAAAAATCAGAAGAAAAGAAGTACACAAAAAATATAGAAAGAAAAGTTGATGTACATCTTTGGTATGTGAGTAAACTTGTTTTCATTGTTTTTAATTCGGGATCCAAAATGAAAACATGAAATTTTAAACAAAGGTCCTATTTATAGAACTTGAAACCCAAAATCACATGCTAAAAATAGGTCATATCACGAGCAGCTCTAAGGGATGACTCGCCGACTTGGTGGTCACTTGGCCAGGGCCCATTTTTCATGAATCTTCGGTTAGAAATTAAAGTATGGAGTATGTTATTACAGATTTGCAAGACTATGAGTTTGACATTTTATCGTACTTATTACTATAATGTTAATTATTATTTAAAAAAATTATTGATAAATTTTTTACTTTTTTATCATAGAATATTAGAATGACATATTTTCTCTGAGTCGGACAGGGCCCTTAGTTTCTTGGAAACAACCCTGGGTCATATTCAATAGAACACGCATTGGATTTGATCCACAAAAACCCAGGCTGGGTTCCTTTTGTCTCTAGATCATGCCCTATAATCATCTCTCTCACCAATCAAAATTTGAAGGGACATAAGAGATGTAAATATGCTCCTTATCTAATCCTTAAGATAAATTCGTGTTAAATAAAACAACGAGATAAATTATGTACTCGGCATCAAATTTTAATTAGTGGATTATGTGAGAGCCCCACAAACTCACCCAATTGGGGGAGGGGTTTATCAATTTTGTCATACGACCTAAGAGCACTGTATTAGAAGCACTGCTAGGGTTTAAGTTTAACCACCCAGATTGCACCCAACCATCTCGCAGTTCTCATCTCCAATGGCGTCCACACTCTCCAGAAGGCTACTCCGCACCCTCATTGCTGGCCCTAGACCGCCGTGCCGTCTCGCGCGCCACCCTTCAACGCCCTATTCGCTATGCTCGAAAAGCTTTTCCTCTGAGAGCGAAGATGAAATGAGTGCTCTGGAATCGGACCCGTCCGGCTCGGAATCCGAATCCGAGGCCAAATCAGATCCTTTCCCTTCAAATCCACCCCCCGAATCCAACCGGCAGGGCAGTGCGGGTGAACGGCCTCTTGAAAATGGCATGGATCATGGTATTTACAAGGTACTTTTGTATTTTAGGTTGTGCACTTTTTTTTTTATAATTTCTCTACGGGCTTGTATATTATATTGATTATTGGAAACAACGCATCACAATAGGTACTTTATTCTATAATTTTATGTCTGAAGAATTCTTTTAGCTCCTTTATGCTTAACCCAGGGAGATTTCGAATATATGGGGGTAATAATGTAATTCTTCCGTCCTAGAGTATTCGTCCAATTTGACATTTTGATGACAAATATATGACTTATATATATGAAATGGACATACCTGTATAAATTTGCACTAGATACGCATCCTACCACAATCTCCTATTAGGGCATGTTTGGATGGGGGTGGGGGTGGGGGTGAGATTGATTCTCCCGTCACTTTGAGTGGTTTCTTGATGTAGGAGCTAAAGTTTTCTCTTTGCTCCATTGCCTCCGGCCTACTCAACCATTAACATTAGGATGGGAGGGGGTGGACCAGTGAAAAATTTCTGATCACACATTTGAATAATGTTTAAACCAAATGAGGGAAGGGAATCAGTTTCTCTCTCCTTGCCTCCCGTCCAACCAAGCACACCCTTAAGCTGCAGAGGTTCTCAGGTTCATAAACCTATTAATGGACTTGTTGAATTTTCTTCATAAAAATGTATCATTAATTAAGAGTCCCCTTAGATGACTCTATAAATAATGAGAAAACAAACTTTTGCCCCTTCTACTATTGCACGGGTTTCAGTTAATATTTTTAACCCAACTTTTTTATACTCTGTAATGCGAATTGTGTGAATGAGTAGTTTTCTGTATTAGTGTGTCTTTAGACAATGTAGTCTGGATAATGATATCATATTCGAAACTGGAACAGGCAATATTGGTAGGTCAGGTAGGACAAGCTGCTATACAGAAGAAACTGAAGAGCGGGATTAAAGTGACTCTTCTTTCTGTCGGGACAGGTGGGATTCAGAACAACAGGAGGCCATTTGATAATGAGCATCCTAAAGAGTATGCTGATCGGTGTGCTATCCAGTGGCATAGGGTATCCATTTATCCCCAGAGGTTGGGGGACCTCGCTGCAAAGAATGCTGTTCCTGGGTATGTGTTCATTTCTCATCGTTGTTTGGACTGTAAAACTTTTACCTTGTTCAGTAACCTTTGATTTTTGGGCTCGAAAATTTGGTTCATTTCTTGAAAGGATGAATTTACTTGGCTGGTATCCAAGAAGAAGCATGGAATTATTTAGCATAGCATTCCAAAAGTACTGTTTTTTTTGCAGTGGAAACTCTTCATCATGCCATGTCTGATATTTCTTCATTGTGCAATGTGTTGGTTAAAATGTATTGCATTCAACCTGTGGTTATGTACTAATGCATGATATTTATGTTTATTGAGTGTTACATTCAATACTTATACAGAGTAGTATATAACATGGTTTTATTGTTGTGTCCATTGTGGCATGGAGTAACCTCCATCTTATAAGAGTTATTTTCTTTTATAAGAAACAGAATTGTGTATTTCAAAAGAAAAAGAGACATGTTTTTAATTAAAAAAGAGTCATGTTTTGCAAAGCTAGAACTGTTACATTTTAGCACAGTGCAAGTATTGAAAATATTCAAATATAGCTACATTTTCAAATTAATTTGTTGTTTATCTAAATTTAAAACACTTAACTTATGAGAAAAGTGCACCGTTTACCCTTAAATTCTTTGAAAATTGCACGGTTTACCCCCGAACATTAAAAAGTGCACCAAATACCCCTGAATTCTTCAGTAATTGCACGCTTTACCCCTGAACAATAAAAATTGCACCAAATATCCCTAAACTCTTCGAAAATTGTACTGTTTACTCCTGAACATTTAAATAAAGACGACAATTTTGGGGAAAGGTACTTTGGAAAATTCACAAGGGTCAGATGAATTATATTCGCAATTCTTGTGTGTGGATGTAACGCACTCCATATCTAATAGTTTAGGACCAACGATGCAACAGTTTAATTTGTTCAAGGGTATTTGGTGCATTTTTTAGTATGCAGGGGTAAATCGTGCAATTTTCGAGGAGTTCGAGGGTAAACGGTGCAATTTTTATAGTTCAGGGGTAAAACATGCAATTTCTAAAGGGTACGTGGGTAAACAATGCACTTTACTCCTTAACTTATTCAGGACGCATTTTAGTGAAAACCATTAAGTATGATGAAAGTTAGCTTATTTTGTTCAAATATGACTCTCTTTTGGGACAATTAAGTTTTCAAACAAGACTCTTTTTTTGTGTCGAGGTATTTTTATTAAAATTATTCCTCGCCCTACCTGAAACAGCTTTGTCATGTCTGCTCCTGAGTTTTGGCATGCTGGTATCTATTCTCATTTTGTTGATTGTTGTTCTCCTGAAACTAGTCCATAATCTTCACATTTGCTTATTGCATTGTGCCTTGCAGCTCAATCCTGTACATAGAGGGTAATCTTGAGTCCAAAGTCTTCAGTGATCCAATTACAGGCCTTGTTAGGCGCATACGCGAGGTTGCTGTACGCCAAAATGGTAAGTTTTTCACTACCTTTACCAGTAATAGTATTGATTTTTCATTAGAAAAATTCTTACTCTGCATCCCCCAAGTATAGCGCGAGATTGCTGTATGCCAAAATGTTAAGTTCTTCACTACCTTTATCAGTAATAATTTTGATTAGAAAAATGTCACTCTGGATCCCCCAACTATAGCTAATAAAGTCTTTCACTTGTCATCCTTTTTTATGGTTTCAGTTTCCTAAATGTTAAATTTTGGGATATAAGTATGATGAATCAATGGCACATCTAATGCCATTTGGGTTGAAATCAGAAATCCTAACAAAAATTAAAAGGAAAAAGATTGGTGTTATAGACACACTAATCACTTGCACACCAAGTGTGTTATAGACACACAAAAACGACATTTGTCTGTGCACGCTTGGTGTCCAAGTGGTGTACACCAAAGTGGTCTACCCCTAGCACAACCCAAATTAAAAACCTTGCTGATAGCCGGAGTTCCAAAACTGGCCGGTTTTTGAAGACAACATTTATTTAATAATCAGGGATCAAAAGTGGATTGTCTTTCTTTTTCATCGTGCCAGTAGTTTCACGAACTTCATCACACACACTGTGCAGGTCGGCTTGTTTTTCTTGGCAAGTTAGATGATGCCGAGGGATCATCAAGAAAAGAAATAAAATCTGTTGGCTACTACTGATGTTGGATTTACCAAGAATGTGGGTAAACGAAGACTAGATTCGCCTCATTCAACCTTCAGTAATTATTTATCACTTTGGTTGATATTTAGAGACCTGTTAAGCATTCATGTTTGCAGGAATCAATTCTACATCACTCCAGATTGCATTCGGCATCTGATGCGTATTTGACTGCGGGGAGTTGGGTAATACAGCATGAACTTTCTTAACAGTTTCTTTAAAGTTTGGAACCAATTTGGTTCAATTTTTTTGTTATGGCTTTCGAGTAAAAAAATGATGTTTAGAAGACATTTGGTTTGGTATCAAAATGATGTTTAGAAGACATTTGGTTTGGCATCATAGATGATTTTTGGGTGTTTGGTTAGTGATAAAAATTACTTCCTCTATTCACATTTAAGTGACTATTATGACTTCTGTGATCAATAAAAAAACTGAATGATTGTGAACATACATTGTGCAGTTTTTCATCTCAAGAAAAATAATAATTGTCGATAAAATGAGTACTGATTAAAGTGTCAACCAAACGTTGCATGGATTGAACTGATTGATAGAGTATTTTTGTATTTTTTTTATTACTGAGATGGATCATACAAATACACATTTAAATAATTGTTCTTTTTGTAAAAAGTAATTGTCCCTTTTTTGCATTTGTTTGCTTAAATACAATTTCAATATTTTTGGACTTGCACGTCACTATCCAAGGGTGTACTATTTTTAGTTGATTAAAAATGTTTCCAACAGTTTACTCTAAATTCTAATTCAAAATAGTACTCCTTCTGTTCCATTTTAAATTGCTTGTTTGTTTTTTTTCTCCGTTTCAAAATAAGTTGCAAAATACATAAACTACTTCTAAAATAAGTCACTCTTCTTCAATTTATTTTCTCATTCATCATCACCTTTCTAAAAAGTAATGTCAATTTTGAAAAATCAACTCAATTTTTTATTTTCTTTAAATATGTCCAAAAGTCAAAACAGGCGATTTAAATTGGAACGGAGGGAGTAAATGTCAAATCAAACAATAATTTATTTGCAATCTCTGAACTCAAAAGAATATTCTTACAAAATTTTTTAGGTTAATTTATCTTTTAAGAGTGGAGTTTATCAAAGTGTAGCAAACATTAATAAAAGAAGCAAAATGAATATGCTCCCTTTGCTTCAAAAAGATTATCACATTTACTATTTCGTTCTCTCGATCACTTTTGTTTGATTACTCATTTCCGGTAACCATTTGATAAAATAAAATATTTTTGTTGCATCTTGTTTTGTAAAAGTTTTAATGTACTTTTGAATGTGTAATTTATACTTTTTATTTCTTTACCAATCTATAAATAAAATGTAGTATATATATAACAACAAATAAATAGTGTGTGCATGAGTTTATAATTTTTTTCTAACAAATAAATAGTTTAAATGGTTAGAAAATATTTTTAAATCTAAATGAATCGAATACTTTTAAATATTACACTTAAACGAAGTGGATACAAATCTTAAAAAAAATATTCCAACCGAATTTGAATTCAAATTCGAATATCACCTTAACTTGGCAAATACAAATATTTTTCATGAATACTCAATTCGATTCAGTTCATTTACAACCCTAGATATGAGTATTAGTTGAGTGATATTTTCCTTTCCCAAAACAAAACAAAAAAATATGCCTAGACCCAACTACAATCCTCTTTGGCACCTAGCAAGTTTCAAACACTTTCTACCTTTGCAATTCTTGAATTAACACTGGCCTGTTGCATCAAAGATTCTGAGGCAAAATAATATGCTAGATAGAAAAAATGAATTTCAATAAGAAATAAACACATAACAGCAAGTCAATTACAAAAAAAAAATCTTACTCAACGCTTTGGCCATAACCAGGTTATTTATACGAAGTGCCAGTGTTAATTCACAATTTGCAGCAGAAAGATATGCTTAGAGGAAGTGGTGATCACAATTTGCTGTGTACTTGTGGGGAAACATATGCTTAGGGAACTTTTTTGACCTCACAGAGTCACAATTATGTTGATCACAGAAGAAAGAAAGCATCGACAAACATGTAATGTATTCATATTTCAAAATACATACACCATATGGCATTTTACAATGTTAAAAAAATGCTGTCAAAAAAAAAGATCCCATTGCACAAAACCCCTCTTGATTTGATAATGTTAACAGACATCTCAAGCACTAAACCCCTCTAGTATTTGTAAGGCGCTTACAATAAATAGTATTGGTCTCTATTATGAAATGTATGTGCTCATGTTAAATACCCAAAGGTGACTTGTGATGTTTTGCGGAAAAAAATAAGTAGCCGTTAACTTATTTTTTTTCCGATGAAATTGAATTGTTAAGCCGAGTAACTCTTACCAAGCAGGCCTGTAAACTGTAATGTACTTGTGTCCAATCCATTTGGTTTGAAGGCATAGCATACTGCACCGACTTTAACTACTATGGATAAGCTTCTTTCTTTTTGTAGGTGTAGGCGTAAAAAGTCTTTTCACAATAGCAATGGGATCATCAATCTGCAAACCAAGAAGACAAATAAGAAAATGTTATTTTTTTATTATTACGTAAATCAATACATAGTCTTGTGAATCAAGTAGGATGTGGACATGCTAAACATCAAACAAATTTCAAAAATATTGGTATATACTGTCGCAAAGGGTGATAAGGTTGAGAAAATTTTCAAGAAATGTTAGCCCAAGTGCTTCAATAGTACTCGTCTAGATTTGCATTTTAATGATGAGTTATATACGGAGTATGATTTTGATAGAGCCATTTAAGATAATGAAAAGGTCTGCTTACTTTCTACTCTCCCTAGAAGTAGAGGACTGTTTACACTATATACTCCATAAAATACCCAAAAGTGGATTGTCTATCAAATGGACAGCCAACCTAGTCATTATGACAGCACTCTATGGTATTTTTATGGCATCTATCTTTATAAAATAATAAATGACAAAATTCTACAATATTGCAATTTGCAAACCTAGCCAGTATGATAGTATCCTATGATATCGCTATGACCTCCATCATAAACCTAGGCATGTGCAAGATGAGCTAAGTAGATTTCTTGTTTTTAAGCATGCATTGTTGGTGTCCCTCCCTGTAGGCAGTACTACCTGTTTTCGCAGAGACCAGTGACAAACAATAAAAGACAGTGTGAACAGTGTAAAGGCAAATGCAAAGGCAAACAAAACAGAACAATTGTTAACGCCCCATCCAAGCACACCTGGCTACATGGGCGTGAGCCCCAACCCCAGGCAGTGCATACTTATAAACAAGGAATCTACTTCCCAAGTCCCACATCTGACTACAAATAAAGAATTTACCTTCCAAATCTGCATCTGGCTATAGTTAAGACAGAAGTGACAACACTATCGTCGATAGAGTCAAAATGACTAGGTTGCCAACACTTAGAATATTGTCTTCAATTATCTTATGAATGCACAGGCCATAGCAATATCGTATAATATTCTCATACTGACTAGGTTCGATGTTCGAGTTTATAGATGATCCACTTCTGGGTATTCTATCTTTCAATGTTGAAAACCTTGGAAAAGAAGCAGAATGTAGTTTCCAAATCGAGGATTGAAGCAAACTATTGTTCAATGACTCTTGTTGCATGCAAGATCTTATAAATTTATGGTTGAAGCACCTCCCCCAAGAATTAATGTTTTGGAACAAAGACCAATGCAATATGTGTGTGAAAAACAAACAGCAATGCATATCGCATCATACTAGTATACCAGGACCATGAGTGGACTAAGCACATTGATGTCGAATGTCACTTTATTCAACATATCGTGTGTGGACACACTGTGACATGTTATGTCAACACAATCAGTTTTCAACCATCTTGAAAAAAAATATTTTTATAACAAGTTTTGTGCAAATGGTTTTACACAATCAAGATTGAGAAGGGTGTGGAGAACATGCATATACAAAAGATGTAGAAAATAGAAAGCATGACATCATCACTCATTACTTCACACTTTTTGTTCATAATAATGCTACCAAAGGCTTCTTTATTTATATCTATATGATTCTCAAACATTTTGGGAAGGTTTTTACCATTTTCATAAAGTAAACATGTCTCGAACACAAAAAATGTTCATCCTAATAGTTTCTGTTCATTATAGTAAGTTCCCATACTGCAATATTTCCATTAAATGCGGGTATATACTCTTCTCTCTTCCTTCCGTACCTCAACAAGGGATGAGGAAAGGGCATCTGTCGTCAAAGGATGAGAAAACTCATGTCGGTGTTCTAAAGAAGATAACGTCTGCTGCCATCCAGGCGCAGAACCACCATTAGATGTGATCCAGGGGCAGTAAAGCTTGTGTAGCCTTATCGGGTCGAATTCTGATGCTCTCCCTGGTAGACTTTCTTGTAAAGTTTTTTCTGAAAGAAAAAAAACACACTGGTTAGATAAACATATATAAAAGATGAAGCCAGACTATTTGAGACAAATTTTAACTCCACAAAAATGTTTAAAACATTATCATCAATTTGCTCATACCCATTGTGGGCACAATATTATGGTTCTGAACCATCAGATCTACTCCATCATTCCTTATGTCACCTTGCTCGATGGCGTGTTTGGAATTGCAAGTTACTACTTCTAGACCATCATGCTCAGTATTCCCTTGATGAGATGTGTCACCAACTTCTCCACATGATCCAAGATCACCTCCAGTTTGGGATGTAGAATGATCTTCAACCAGTGGATCAACTTTCTCAGCATCATCTGCATGATCTGATAGTTTGTTGGTCTCACATGAAGCCTGACCTACCATCTGGATATCTGGTGAATGTTCTTCTGTAGTTTGGTCTGAAGCACTGGTATTAGAAATTCCTTGTCCGGCATTAATCTTTTCATCCGGAGAAATGCTCTTTTCCTTGCCTACCAAAAGTGAGTTCTCAGTAGTTGAGACATCCCTTATATCAAAATCATTTGAAAATCGGGCTTTTAAATTATATCCAACAATGGGAAGAGATACTTTGGCCATATAATTTTGCATGGCCGGAAGGGGACCACCTGCAATAGTTACATTTGATGTTGTAGAAGGAGCAAGAGAAATATTTGATCTGCACTCTTTACTTTTATCATGAGTTCCACTAGTTAAGAGAAGGTTTGCAGGAGTGCCAACCGCATTATCATCAGCTAAACGTTCACTGTTAATATCTGTATATCCACTCAACCTTAAAAATTCAAGAGGGCGTGGAACCATAGAAAATGCCCACAGTCCAACACGAGCCCCACAAATCTTACACTCCAAAACAACAGAATTCGGATCAGATATTGCTCCATCAGAGGTTTGAATACCATCACTTGCCTCATTATTCTCATTAGAAGAAAAAATGGTAACACTATGAGTTCGTCTGCTAAACTGAGATAAGTATCCATGCTGATTATCCTTAGCAGATTGATCTGATTGGTCCTTCGAATTGACAAAGTATGGCAAACTATGGGGTTCCCATCCACATAAACTTATGAGCTTTTGTGTCTGCAAATATTTCAATATAGTAAGACAAACTAATAGGAGGATCTAATCTGTATATATCATAATATTGAGAAAATGCAATGCTAGGAGAAAAGACATATAGGTCCGAAATGAGCAATGTGTATATAATAATATAAAGAAAATTATGATTATTTGGCAAAAAAACCCTTCAACTTTTTTTTGCTGGTCTAGCACACACACAATTACACACAAATACACTCTTCAGAACTTTTGAAGAATGTGTCTTCCAACCTAATGTTTAGGTTTATGCAGCTGGAGCTACACTGGAAATGAAAATTCCAATCTATCACAAAGATGCAAGAGAAATAAAGTGAAACTAAAGCTGTAAAAACTCCCCAATTGACTATCTTGCTCCTTCACACAACAATCTCTTCAACTGAATTAGATCTAAAGATTCAATTACAGTTTGTTTCTCCTACATCATCATTCATCAGCTTAGACTAAAAAATTCCATCATTTGCCAAATGACATTTCAATTACCAATTCAGAGGAATGTACAAATTGTGTAATTTCTAAAAGTATAGGCTAGATTAGTTAAAAAATTGAAAACTATAGATTTTTTTCGTACTTAACATGAATGGTTATACATTTCATCCTTATGCTACATGATGATTTGAGAATTGAGACTCAATCCTTTATTTAGAACGGGTGTGCTCTCCAGTTGGTTCCTAGTGACCTTAACACAGTTTCAGCAGTCAGCATCCATGACTCCATTTTTTTTATAAAGGTGATGGTCACCAATCACCATGTTAAAAATTACAGGACATCCGCCACCAAACTTATAAATGGAGGTCAAAGTCTCCAATTATCATATATGTATATGACTCGTGAACTAAATATACTGTTTTCCTAATAATACGGAGTATATTTGAAAAAGTAAGAGGAGAATAAAAATATTCCAGTAAACCAGCTCAGACCATGTGCATTCAAGTGAAGAGAAGTAAAAAAGGCAGAAAGACTGCCAGCGTTTGCACGTCAAAGCCAAAAGACTACACAAGCTCATATTTTGAATGATGTTATTAACAAAATTCAGAAGAGTCACAATTTGATTGCAGCATTATTGAATATGCTAACTTACAAACCTGGTAATATGTGAGACACGAATCTGATTTTGGTTCTTTTCTGAGGCCATCTGTTCTAAGTCTCTCAGAGGAGCTGTCAGACTTCTCAGCAGTAGATTCTTTGAGAAAATCTTCTAACTGGTCGCTTCTCAAGTAATTAACTACAGACAAAGAAATCACAGGTAGAGCTACAAGCTGCTCTATAGCAGAAAAACGGGATATATATTCATCAACTAAAAGAGTAGAAGCCATCTGCGGGAAAGCTGCTAGCTTTTCATCACATGCATTGTCAACCCATGGGCAAAGCAGCTTGTGCCCACTGTCCAGTTTCAAGCTGAATACTGATGCTGCTTTATCAACTGTTATCTCCGTCAAAACATAAACAAATTTTTTATTATCAATGTTAGCTTAGAATTTAACGATACTTTTTTTGTAATAGTACTTCACTTTATCAACGAGGGGGGGGGGGGGTAGCGCAGCTTGCCTTGTTGTCGGCTCCAAGATGATGAACACGAAAACAAAAGGCGCACTCCACATGCTTCACATGCAATGGTATCCATATCTATGTTTATCCAGCCCCTTCTAGCACAGTTTAATGCACTTATCACCTGTTATGAATTGTAATTACTAAAGTTAGTGCATTCATCTTTGGTTTTAAGACTCTTGATCTCACAGAAAAGTTTATAATACAAACAGACCAATCGAACAAGTGTATCTTTACGACTTTACCGAAGAAAAACAACTAAAAAATGACAAAATAAATGTATCTCAAATAACTACATCTGTCTTCATGGAGAATCATAAGAAGCACATAATATTTGCTGAGAAAAAGAACAAAAAATTAAGATAATGCATTGATAATTTTCTAAGAAAATTAGCTCCATAAGTTTAATAAAATAAATTTAAAAAAAGACTAAATAGTAATGGGCGCGAATATGTCAACAAAAAGTTTGGGCGGTTTTTACAACAATTGGGGGTTCTTCATCAAAAGTCTTGTCCATATACTCCTGAACAAAATGGCGTGGCTGAGAGGAAGCATAGACACTTGGTTGAAACTCTTGTCACACTTTTGTGTACAGCTTCCCTTCCCGCGCGGTTTTGGGTTGAGGCTTTGGCTACAGCAAATTTTTTAATCAATCGCATGCCAAAGAGGTCTCTTAATTTTATGTCTCCATATGAGGCTCTATATCACACTCCTCCTGACTACTCCATTCTTAGAGTTTTTGGGTGTCTCTCTTATCCGTGTCTTCGTCACGAGATTAATCATAAATTTCAACCCAGGTCAAAACAGTGCATCTTTGTCGGTTATGATTCCTTGTCAAAAGGGTATAGATGTTATGATCCCTCCACTGGTCGTCTTTACATTTCTCGTCACGTACAGTTTCAAGAGGATCAATTTCCCTACTCCACACTACCCGTGTCTGTGTCAAATTCCTCTTCCTTTCTTGGTGTGTTGCCTCTGTTTCCCAATCTCGCTCACGGGAACCCTACACCCTCTCTCCCCACCCACCCAGCCCAACCCGTCACCCCACTGCCCAGACCTCGCCTGACCTGCCAGCCATAATGCCTACCCAACCCATTCCCGAAACCCAAACCCCATCTCAGCCCACTGTCCCCTCTTCCTCACACGCACAGCCACACCTCCCCACCCCAACCTCTTGTCCTAGTACCCCACATAACCCAATTCCCACTTCACACAATGTTCCTGGATCGTCACCACCCTCTCCACCACCTCCGTCACCTCCCCCACCCCAACGCCACCCCTATGCAGACCCGTGCCCGTAGTGGCATCTTTAAACCCAAACTTTACTCAACCTCTGTTCTTTCTTCTGCTCCACCCACCTTTGAGCCTGTCACTTACAGAGATGCAGCTAAAAATAGACATTGGTGTCAGGCTATGGATGAAGAATTCTCTGCCTTGATAAATCAAAAAACATGGGTACTTGTCCCAGCACCCTCAGGTCGGTCTCCTATTGGTTGTAAGTGGGTCTATAAAATCAAGCGCAACACAGATGGCTCGGTCTCTAGGTACAAGGCACGATTGGTGGCCAAGGGCTATACTCAGGAATATGGGCTGGATTACTCTGAAACCTTTAGTCCGGTTGTTAAGCAACAGACTATTCGGCTTGTTCTCTCTTTAGCAGTCTCTCATAATTGGCCACTTCATCAACTAGATGTTACTAATGCCTTCCTTCACGGCGAGGTTTCTGATCTCATCTATATGCAACAGCCTCCTGGATATGTTGATGCACAGTATCCCGACTATGTGTGTCAACTGCAGAAATCCATTTATGGCCTTAAACAAGCTCCCCGTGTCTAGCATACGCGCTTGTCCAGCTTTCTTCTAGCATATGGTTTTCGCCAAAATGCACATGATACCAGCTTTTTTATTATGCATACATCTCAGGGTACTCTTATTCTCCTTGTCTATGTTGATGATATCATTGTTACAGGAAGTACGCCTGCTCTCATTAGCCGCTTCATCCAGACCATGCATAAAGAATTTCAAATGAAGGATCTTGGTCCTCTAGATTACTTTTTGGGCCTTGAAGTCAAGCGCACTTCCACCTCTCTTCTCCTCTCTCAAGAGAAATATGCACGTGAGCTAATTCATAAGGCTGGGCTGGAGGACTGCAAACCGGCGCCAACTCCCATAGCAGTCCGCACGGGTGAAGACGGTGCGGCCAAGCCCTTTGCTAATCCGACTTTCTTCCGAAGCATTGTTGGTGGACTTCAGTATCTCACCAATACGAGACCTGATATTCAATTTGCTGTGAACCACGTGTGCCAGCGCATGCATGCCCCTACGGATCAAGACTTCAACTCTCTCACCCGAATTCTTCGCTACATTCAAGGAACCGTTGATCATGGTTTAGTGTTTCGGCCGGGTAAGTCGGCACTCTATGCCTACTCCGATTCTGACTGGGCCAATGACATGACAGATGGTAGGTCCGTTACAGGTTATCTGATCTACTTGGGTCCCAATCTTGTCTCCTGGTGTACAGAAAAGCAAAGCCGTGTTTCCAAGTCCTCGACTGAGGCCGAGTACAGAGCCCTTTCTGCTGCGGCGTCCGAGGTGATGTGGTTATCCTATCTTCTCAATGATCTTCGTGTTCGGATGCCTCCACCACATCTTTTTTGTGATAACCAGTCTGCTATTTGTCTTACCAAAAATCCGGTGTTTCACAAACGAATGAAGCATGTTGCCACAGACTGTCATTTTGTTCGAGAGCAGGTCATTGCTGGAGCCATGACTATCTCACACGTCTCATCTACCGATCAGTTTGCTGACCTACTCACGAAGGCCGTACCCTCTCCACGTTTTCGAGCTCTTGTGTCCAAGCTTCCACTCGTTTCACGGCGTTCAGCTTGAGGGGGGATGTTAGGAAATAATTATATAGTATCTATATTTATGGTAATAGTTTATTCATAGTAGGAGTTTATTCTCTCCTATTCTCCTACTCCTGTTTATGGTAGGATTTCTCTTATATATATTGTATTGTACCCTTCAATATTCTCTTGAGTAAATTCAATATTCCAATACCAGGAAACTTGAGAACCAACAATTCGTTGAAATTTCAACCCCACAAAAACCAGATTCAGCATTAACCCAATTCATGAAAGTTCCATTTTTATTATTAAAAAGGGTCTAGTCTTTCCATGTTGACATTGAAGAGTCTTTGGTGTTCATAAGGTCCATGCTCAAATTTGTTTTCTTCTGCAAAGCTCAAGCACTGGCTAGGTGCCAGTACTTCTGTGAGTAAAATGAATTAAACGTTTTTTCGTACATCACGAGTAAAATTACAATGAAAATTGGTATTCTTTAACACCCATATCAGGGAAACAAAAAACAAGAGCTATTGATGCACATACTAGGGAAACCATCAAGTAATACAACAATAAGCCCCAGTTTTTTTCTTTCTCACATACAATAAAGAGTAAGTTCTAGAATTCAACCTGTGGTTTTCCAAACCACGACATAGATTTGAAAGTGGCCAGCCTCCTATAGAAATCACCTCTGTCCCATGGTCTGCAAGGAGAACTATGGGCTGCTCCACCGGAGCCCCTCAAATTGCTTAATCTTTCAGCAGATATCGATCTCGGCTCAGCCACCACTAATTCGTGGGAGGAATTCGGCCGCTTCCTGCCTCTTGATAGCGTACCTCCTGATGAACTAATTTGGCATAAACACAAAACCAAAACAATGCCATCACAAACCCATCTTAGTTCAGATTAACATACTCAAAACTGAAACAATCTAACAAACCAGGCTATTTCATACAAGCAGATGCGATTGAAAACTAAATGAGCAAATTCCAAAGCTGAATTGACTCGAATTCATGACGTACTCTAAGAAAAACGGGAGAACGATTTAGAACCTGCTTGGGACGGGTTTGGATATGGGAGGAGCCCGGAAGAGTTTGTCCATAACCGCATTAAACCTCTTCTCTGCATCATCGCCCATATTCTTCCGCTACTCTCTCTCTCTCTCTCGCTAATATTATACGATTCTTTGCTTCTGTGTGTATAATAGGGTGCAATTCAAGCTACACGCAGCGCCATAGATGTATGATTACGCGATTCGAGCTGTCTGGGGAAGCAAAACTTGGGAGGGATGCAGCTGGGTGTGGCCTAACGGTTTCCGATTTCAATCTCATCATCTCACTTTCATTGGCATTCACATGATTTATAACTCCATATTGCAAGGTCTTTAACATCAAATTCAATGTCAGAGTGACTCACACCTATACTAATGTACTACTCTCTGTGTCCACCATAGATTTCTCACATGCTGTTCACAGGGTTAAACATTACTCATTTTGTTTGCTCAATTTTACTAGTCATTTCATAAAATAATATAGTCTTGTCACCTCTAGTTTTGTAGAACTTTTCATATAGTTTATTACTATATAAATTTTATTTTAAAATTTTACTCTTATAATCAATTAAATTGAATTGAAAATAAAGTTGGTCAAGCCTCGTAACACGCAATGGGAAGATCATACATGGACGGAAGGAGTAGTATTTTGACTCGTGCCCGTTGAACTAAATCTTTTTCGATTCTGAATTTTTTTTAATACAATAAATTTCTGGAATCAAGTAAATATAGTTTTAACACTTCAATGGATACCAGCAATAAAGTAAAATAAATAACAGTTGAGGAATTGAAAGTATAATCGAAAAAAATATTTTTTAATTCCAAACTTTTTAAAAAAAATTCAGGGTACACAACATTTTTAGTATGGTTATAACGATTTCTATTGTCATCTAGAACCAATATTTTTAATGTATTTGCCTTCACTGGTAAAACAATGAACTAAAGCTGACAATGAGTAAATACTGAATTGGTTAAAAATAGTACAACAAAAGACAATGTCTAACTTTAACTTTTGCTAATAGTCATAGCAAAACATAAGACTCTTGGGAATTGTCTTCTCTAGAATTTAAGGGATAGTCTTGAATCAGATCGTACCAAATTCATTCGAGTATGCAAACTTTTTTTCCTGGCCTGGCTCGATTTCTCAAAACCCCAACTAGATTGATAATGTTCTTTCGCAGCTCTTCAACGATTAATCTTCTACCATTACACAATTTATATATTTGGTCAATGTTCTTCAATAACATAATCGGTACGCCCTTTTAAAAACTATTTTATGGTTTGGGATTCCCGGACATTTGATTTCATTGAAAACTAAACTATTATTCAATCGTCTTCAATAGTTACATCTAAATCTCCTTGGTATGAAGAATCAGAAGTTATAAAATTGATAGTTTCTATTTTTTCATAATTTCAAAATTATCCAATGTCCCTTGCAAGTTGCACCCCACTTTTGTTCCCTAAATCGATAATCAAGGGAAGATAAAGAGGAATGAGATGACGTGTAAGAGATTTTTAAGTTAAGGTATTCTTATTCATATCGCCTAGTAGAAATTACGTCTCCATATATATATATAGTGAGAGATGAAAACCCCTAATCCTAAAAATTATATTTTCTACCATGTTGGTTCAAAAAAAAACATCGAGGTAAAAAAAACTCTCGAAAGGGCTTATAAATTCGCTCACCTAATAAAAATATAAAATACAATAACAAATAATAACTCCTATGTAATTCACAAATCTAGTCAGTGTCTTAACCACCTGCGTCGATCTTTGTGGCATAACTCTGACTTCCTCTGCTACCAGCTACTTTGTATTAGAGACTTCACTACGTACCAACCCGTCAAACTTAACAAAGTTTAACAATCAAGTACAACTCGAAAACTTGATCTCATATGCTTCTTATCTTAACACTAAAGACTTGATTTCACAAGGCTCTAGATTTCTACCACCTATCATTTGATTTCACGAAAGGATAGAATTTCTACCAACCCACTTGACATAAATTTACCGCCAAGATGATTGCACCTTTTCTAAAAAAATGCAAACAAAAATAACATTACAATTACTCCCACAAGAGTGAGTTGCTGCAATACAATGATCTCTTATAAAATATAGCTTAATCTCTCAGAGACTTAAGCACTGGGGGTAAACTCAAGCAAGAGAGGATTTAGCAATCAAAACATTCCATGCCTTGCTTGGATATGAAATGAGGATTGAGTAGAAACTCTTTGAATAAAAGGATATGGCTAATTTAATGAATAAATATGAATATTGTTACTTTTGGGTCTATTAGTATTAGTTGATTAAAAAGGATCAATTAATGAAGAGGCAGATTCGATCAGCTCCACAATGCTGTTTGGTCAATGGGGAATTGACCTCATTGGCATGATGCTTAGGGCCCAAGTAACTTTTGGTTGATAATCGATCATGGCCATCAATAATTACAATTAACTCTCATTTTAAGAAATGAGTTCAAAGTGTCAAATAAACTTTTTGTTGGGAAATTTCCCTCCTACATGGAGGAGTGTCTAATTTTAATTGGACAACACTTTAAATCTCTTTTTTATATTTGGGCTTATTTTGTGTGTAAAGTTTTAGCCCAATTGTTTTTTTGGTGGCCCATTCTCTTTTGTTGTGTGGCTACTAACTAAAGAAGAAAAAAAAAAGGGATAAGGTAGCAACTTGAAGAGGAGAGGGGAGTGGCAGTAGCAAAAACGCAGGAAAGAAAGGAGAAAAAGGAATTTTTGCCACACAGTGCAGCAGCAACTTTTCACCTCCGGATAGAAGGTCAAACGAAGTCGGATCTTGCTCAAATTTTAGTATGTTGTTCCTCACACACTCCTCTTCATATCCAACGGTCAGTTTCTCGTTTTGATGCCCGGAAGGCTGTTTTCTGGCTGCGTTTTCAGACCTGCGTTTTTGGGAGTTTTTACTCCATTTTTGGTGAATTGTTGATTGTTGTTGTTCCAAGGTTGCTCCTTGATGATTGTGTATGCCTCTAGTGTTTACTAGAGAGGAGAACTTGTTGTACCCATTTGATTCTTGGTGATTAGTGGAAGTTTGGGAGCCGTTGTTGAGCGGCCGTGGTTTTCTCCCCGATTTGGGGTTTCCACGTAAATCGTGTGTCATCTAATTTATTATCGCTGCCATTTATTTGTGTGTGTGNTTGGAAAATTCGTATTGAGGATTATTTATGCTCTAAAGATTTGCTTGACCCAATTTTGTATAAAGAACGTCCAACAGGTGTTGATGAGAAAGCTTGGACTACCTTGAACCGGAAAGCTATTGCATCAATTAGACAATATGTTTTTTTAAGTGTGTTGCAACATGTTTCTAATGAAACTAATGCTTTTGAGATGTGGAAGAAACTTGAATCCATGTACGAGAGGAACAATGCTATGGGAAAAGCTTCTTTGATTAGGAAGCTTGTTAAATTGCAATACAAAGATGGTGATAGCATTGTGGTTCACATGAACGAGTTTCAAGGTGTGGTAAACCAACTAGCCGGAATGAAGATGAAATTGGAGGATGAACTTCAAGCTTTGTTGTTGCTTTCCTCATTGCCCGACAGGGATACATTGGTGGTTTCACTTAGCAACTCTGCTCCGGATGGCAAGATGACTATGGAGATGGTCAAGGCTAGTCTTTTGAATGAAGAGGCTAGGAGAAAAGAATCAGGTTACCCTAGCCAATCTGAAGCAAATGTGATTCCAGAATCCAGCAGGGGGAGAAGCAAGAGCAGAAATCCTCACCATAGAGACAAGTCCAGGGGGAGATCCAAATCCAGAAAGAGAGATTTCATTTGCCATTATTGTCAGAAGCCGGGTCACATTGAGAGATTCTGCAGAAAGAAGAAGAGAGATATGTCCAGAGAGAGAAAAGATAAAAATGAGAATTCCGAGCAGAAGCTAGAAGAGAAGAACACTACAGCCTTGGCATCTAGTGATGATGATTTGTTTGTTATCGGTGGTCATGGACTTTTAAATGTAGCCTGTGATGACTGCACCTGGGTGATTGATTCTGGTGCATCTTATCATATTATTTCACATAGGGAGTACTTCTCATCCTATACTAGTGGTGACTTTGGCCACGTGAGGATGGGAAATGATGGTTCGTCTAAGATCATCGGTATGGGTGATGTTTGTTTAGAGACTTCCACTGGTTGCAGGTTGGTGCTCAGGGATGTGAGGCACGTCCCAGATATCAGATTGAGTTTGATTTCAGCTGGTCTGCTTGATGATGAAGGTTATGCCAACAAATTTTGTGATGGAAGATGGAAACTCTCCAAGGGCAGTTTGATTATGGCTCGAGGTAAGAAGCAGAATTCACTTTATGTTATGCAAGCCAGAGTATGTAGTGGAGATGCCAATGTAGCAGATGATGCCTCCGGTGATTTGTGGCATAAGAGGCTTGGCCACATGAGTCAAAAGGGCATGCAGATCCTTTCCAGGAAAGATTACCTCCCCGACATTTCAGGTATGCCTTTAAACTCTTGTGTTGATTGTTTAGCTGGAAAACAACACAGAGTTGCATTTCATACTCGTCCCCCACATAGAAGAAATCATGTTTTAGATCTTGTTCATACTGATGTTTGCTCTATGGATGCTAGATCACACCGTGGTGCACAATATTTTGTGACTTTTATTGATGATTTTTCTAGAAAAGTGTGGGCTTTTGTTTTGAAAAATAAAGACCAGGTACTTGAAGCTTTTAAGGAGTTTCATGCCAGAGTTGAAAGTGAAAGTGGTAGAAAGCTCAAGTGTGTCAGATCAGACAATGGTGGTGAGTACAGGGGTCCATTTGAGTACTATTGCAAAAGCCAGGGCATCAAGCTTGAGAAGACAGTTCCGAAGACACCTCAGCTTAATGGAGTTGCAGAAAGAATGAACAGAACAATTGAAGAGAGAATCAGGTGTATGCTATCTCATGCTGAGCTGCCAAAGTCCTTTTGGGCGGAGGCAATGTTCACTGCAGTGTACCTGATTAACCTTTCCCCTTCAGTTCCTCTTGAAGGTGATGTTCCTCAGAGAGTTTGGTCAGGGAAAGAGGTCTCCTATAAGCATTTGAGAGTCTTTGGTTGTAGAGCATTTGTTCATATTCCCAGAGATGAGAGATCCAAGCTTGATAAGAAGACCAAAGAGTGCATATTTTTGGGGTATTCAGAGGATGAGTTTGGGTACAGACTATGGGATCCACGTGATATGAAAGTGATCAGAAGTAGAGATGTGGTTTTCTTTGAAGATCAGACTATTGAAGATTGTGAGAAGAAGCAGGCAAATCCTTCTCCATGCATCACAGTTGATCCAGTTCCATCTCTTCCTCCTGTTGTAGTCCCTCAAGATCATGGGGGAGATATGCATGATCATACAGTTGAGTCCCCTGCAGATGACCATCATGATGATGATAATCATGATGATGGTGGTGATGGTGTTCCAGAGTCACAACCACAGTCACACTCAGAGCCGCCTCCAGCACCTCAGTTGAGAAGATCCACTAGAGTCAGAAAACCTTCCACGAGACTCTCAGAGGATGATTTTGTGTTAGTCACAGATGGAGGAGAGCCAGAGACATATGATGAGGCTATGTCACATGTGCACGGCGAGAAGTGGTACGATGCCATGCAAGATGAGATGACGTCATTGCATGAGAACCACACATATGAGCTTGTAGAATTGCCTAAAGGCCAGAGAGCACTCAAGAACAAGTGGGTATACAGACTGAAGTGTGATGAGAGTAGCTCACAACCAAGGTACAAGGCAAGATTGGTTGTGAAGGGTTTCAGTCAGAAGAAAGGCATAGATTTTGATGAGATATTTTCTCCAGTTGTGAAGATGACCTCTATTCGAGTTATACTTGGCTTAGCTGCGAGCATGGATTTGGAGATTGAGCAACTTCATGTGAAGACAGCATTTCTTCATGGTGACCTTGATAAAGAAATCTACATGGAGCAACCTGAGGGCTTTCAGCTTAAGGGAAAGGAGAACTTAGTTTGCCGTTTGAAGAAAAGTTTGTATGGTTTGAAGCAAGCACCTCGGCAGTGGTATAAGAAGTTTGAGTCCTTTATGGTTGATCATGGCTTCCACAAAACACACGCTGATCATTGTGTGTTTGTGAAGAATTACTCCGAAGGTGACTTTCTTATTCTCCTTTTATATGTAGATGATATGTTGATTGTTGGACAGGACACCAAGAAGATTGCTAGCTTGAAGAAGTCATTGAGTAAGTCCTTTGCAATGAAGGACTTAGGCCCTGCTAAAGAGATTTTAGCCATGAGGATCACGCGAGATAGAAAGAACAAGAAACTTTGGCTATCCCAAGAGAGATACATTGAGAAGGTGCTTGGTAGATTCAACATGAGCAATGCTAAACCCGTGAGCTCTCCACTTGCAGGACACATGAAGTTGAGTATGGACCATTGCCCTACAAGTGAGAAAGAAAAGCAAGAGATGAACAAGGTGCCTTATGCTTCAGCCGTGGGTAGTTTGATGTATGCCATGGTATGTACGAGGCCAGATATTGCACATTCAGTTGGGGTTGTTAGCCGCTACATGTCGAATCCGGGTAAAGAGCACTGGGCAGCCGTGAAATGGATTCTCAGATATCTTAGAGGTACCTCCAGAGTTTGTTTATGTTTTGGTATTGGACA